CTCGTCCGGGGGCGCGTCGGGCGCGCCGGGCGGGAAGTCGGCGTCGGGGTGCCACGCGCCGCTGGCGTCGTCGCGGGTCCACAGCAGCGGCGGCCCGTACCACTGGCGGTCGACCTGCAACCAGAGGGCGCGCAAGATGCATCAGTCGCACGCAGCTTCACTCAAGGCCGGCGCAGGGGTGACAATCCTCTTGGTCCTTGCTGATGGTCCTTGCTCGCGCCGGTCACCCGTCACAAACGGCTTGCACCGGGCCAAAGCTCACCCCCCGCCCCTGCCCCTCCCAAAAACATAGTGTAATGCATGTCAGCAAATCAATCACATCAGCAACCTGCAGGATCGCAGACTTCTTGCGATGGCGCTCATTGAAAGTGAAGAACTCGAGCGGCACGCGCGCGGCGTGCCGCTGCCGCCGCAGCGCCGCGGCGAACGCGGCGAGGTCCGGCGTGGGGTCGCCGTCGAGGGCGGTGATGATCGCGCCCCTGGGCACGTCGGCGCGGCTCAGGATGTAGCCTAGGGTGGGGGGCGGGGTCCAGGCCCGAATGCGTTTCAAATTGTGCAATTTGAGGCTTGTGGGCCTGCAAGACCCCTTGCCGCCGTTGTGATGATCAAGTGTGGCGGCAGGAGGCAAAAATGCGCTCGATTCTCTGAAGAGCTCCTGGGTGAGGCCACTAGGATCCGCGGCTGGCAGGGGTCGGCAGCCGCCCGGCAGCTACCCACCCGGCTCCGCGACGTAGACCTGCCCCGTCAGCGCGCGGTTGTTGCGCGCCTGCTGGTACGACAGCGCGTGAACGCTGCCGCCCGCGACCTCCAGCAGGCGCGAGGGCGTCACGCAGTGCAGGTCAGTCACCGCCAGCCTCACGTCTGCGGGGGCGAGTTTCGGGGGTATACCAGCCTTTGAGCGGCGGTCGGTCGTCGAGCCGCTCTAGGGTGTGTCGAGAGGCGCCGTCAGCAAAGTGCCGAGACCGGAGTCCCCCCATTTCGCGGCGCACGTCTACGAGTTGCGCAAGCGAGCCCAGCGCGCCGCGTTGCGCAGCCGTGCGAGCTGCGCGGTCAAAGCCTGCGCCCACCGATTGGCTTGCCGCCGCGCTCGAGGCTGAGCTCCACGGTGCCGCCCACGGCCGAGTCCAGGGCCTCCTCCAGGGGTAAGAAGTGGGTGACCACCTGCGGCAGCGCAGGAAACGGGGCCGGAGGCGCCAACATCAACGTCAAGGAAGTCAAGCACACAGGCAAGGCGGGCGATGAGGAAGGCGCATCCATGGGCACGCCCTTGAAGCGCACGCCAGCACAGCGGGCGGTCGCGTCGAGCGGGGGCGACATCGTCCCACAGCACAACATGCAAAGAGCCGAAAGTTGCTTCTCAAGCACAATCAAAGCACAGATGACGCGGCTTCCGCCCAGGAATAACGCTGATCCAGGCGCACCTGCCCCCCGAGGCGAACGAGGACATCCCCCGGCTCAAGCACGCCGTCCCCCGGGCCGCCCGGCACGACGCTCTCCACCACCAGCATGCCCACGCCGTGCTGGCCGTGGTCGGTGCGCGGTCCCGCCGGGGGGGGCGCCCCGTCGCCCGTCCCATTGCCCTGCGACTCGTGCCGCTGCTGCTGCTGCTGCTGCTCCTCGGAACCCTTCAGTGCCTGCGCTGTGGGGCTTGCTGCACCTCCGGCGGCCGCCGCGGCGGCCGCTGCGCCCGGCGCCCCGTGGCTGTGCACAGGCGCCGCGCGGACCGCGGCCTCGGTCTCTGGGCGCAGGCCCAGCCTCCGGACCTCGTCAAACCCTTTGAATAGGAAGGTCGTCTGCCGGCCGGCGGCGCGCACGCGGGTGGCAGGCGTGGTGCGGCAATCTTCAGAGAGGCCAGGCGCTCAGACATTTGGCTCGCACCTTGGATCATACCGTTGTTCTGCATGCCGTCCCCCAAAAAGCAGCCCCCCTTAGTCGCGGCCAGCACCCGCACCTCATGGTGCCACCTACTCTGATAAAATGCACTTGGCCGCACCATACGCTTGCGCCCGCGCCCCACCACCTCCAACGCACCTGCAAGTCCCCCCGCGGCACCCGCGCCGCCGCCCACACGCCGCTCAGCGCGCCGCCCTCCGGCCAGTGCTCCCGCAGCACGCGCAGCGCGCGCAGCACGCGCTCCAGTGGTAGGTAGTAGGCGGACGCCGCCTTGGTGCGGCCGCCGGCGTTGAGGCCGATGGCGCGGCCGTGGACGTCGATGACGGGGGAGCCGCTGGAGCCGCCCTTGGTGCCAGAGGCGGCCTGCAC